AAATTTTGTCAACTTGGCTGAATTTTTGATATGAGTTAGTTTAAGGTATATTATAACAATAAGTGAGAGTAATTTTTTGTTCAACCCCCGGCCAAGGGTGGAAAAAGATAAAACAAAGGGCTTTTTCAAGATAACTCAAAAAGGGTAAGAGCTAGAAAAAAAAAAAAAGTTTTTCATGAAAGTTGTAAAGCAGACAATTCTACATAAAAATGGTCTCTTAGCTTTTTCTTGTACTATTAAAATTAACAGAGTTAGGGAGACTAGAAGTTAAGGGAAGATTTCAGAAATTTAATTTTGTTAAATCATTAAAATTAACGATTAAACTTTCTTATTAAAAATTAAAAAATATATCTATTTCTCTGAAAAGAAAAGTTACATATTTTAGAGCAGATTGAAAAAAAAAATTACAAAATTCAATCATTTTTCTGTTTGTTATGATTTTTTTTATATTTCTGAAATCTTCCCTTAACTTCTAGCCTCCCTAACTCTGTTAATTGTAATAGTACAAGAAAAAGTTAAGAGGCCATTTTTATGTAGAATAGTCTGCTTTACAACTTTCATGAAAAACTTTTTTTTCTAGCGCTTACCCTTTTTGAGTTATCTTGAAAAAGCCCTTTGTTTTATCTTTTTCCACCCTTGGCCGGGGGTTGAACAAAAAATTACTCTCACTTATTGTTATAATATACCTTAAACTAACTCATATCAAAAATTCAGCCAAGTTGGCAAAATTTCGATTTAAAGGCTTAGTTAATTGGACTAAAAAGGGAACGATTTAAAAAAAACACAAATATACAGTGTCATTAAAAAACTGATTTATGTCTCCAAAACAGAACAGTATGTATTTCTTTAGGATCTCAGGTAAATTTCTGTCTCATTTTTTTTCTATATGAAACGAAAAAAAAAGATAAGGAGAATAGAAGGTTATGAGAAAATCTCTGTACATATGAAGATATTCGCGTAAGTTTCTTACTATTGTAACATCGTACTCAGAAGAATTGGTTTAGGTACATACACCAAAGTTGTGGGAATTTTGTTTTGTAATAGAATACTTGTATATTTTACATATTTAAATAGAGCGCATGCTTCCGATTACAAAAATGTAAGGTTTAATAGGTTTATCTATAACAGTCAACGAGATATGGGCTAAATACGTCTGGCATAACCTCAATGTGTTACAAAGAGAGAAAGAGATTATTTTTAGTTGTTATAAGCAACCAAATCTTTATCTAACACATTATGGTAATAGCCCACACGCCGCATAATAACCGCATATCTGTTATTATTGGAGGTAGGCCCATCAAACATTTTATCACTGCAATCCTAATAAGATAACGTTCTGTCCAAATAGGTAAGAAAGTATAGCATTTGTATCCTTGTATGTATTTTTAGTTTAATTTCGGTGCATATTTATCGAATGTCAACTTAAAAAAAGAACATGCTCGTAAAATATCATGATGAAAGTTTGTCAAAATTTAATAATCTATTGTAGTGTGCTCGGCGCAACAGGAACATTTCAGTTTCGCACTGAAGGCGTCGGTGGCATCTCCGTCGACCTCCCATTCTGCCTAAACTAGGAGCGGGTTAAAATTAGCCACTTGCCATTAGATATCTCCACGAGCAGCAGATTTCCCACCAGCGAACGTGCCGATTACGAATGTGCTATAGCTGATGATTAATGTCCATCTATCGCTTATTTTTCAGCCGGGGAAATTCGGAAGATTAGGCGGGATTGTTTTTTTTTGGGGCTCTAGCGGAAAATTTGATAAATATTTGAAATATAAATAACCGTGACGGTGATCGAACAGGCTTATATTGGCGAAAGCTGAGAAAACATATATTTTGCTACAGCAAATTAATATTTTAATTATTAACTTTAATACGTTCTTAGTTTAACATATACGGGACGTCTAGAAATTATGAGCAAAAAAATAAGTAGGCGATTCTATTCAATAAAATAACCTATATCTAACCATTTTTCCAAAATTCAATATTAATGGAGTTACATAATATCAGTTAGGTATTACATTTTTTAATTGATTTTCTCATTATTTTTTACATATATTTTTTTAAATTTCTTAATTTCATTTATGAAAAAAATGATAAACTACACTTACCAAAATTATAAAGATTTTAAAGAATTGAGGCTTAAAAATTGTTATTGACTGGAAAACGTAATTATGTGCGATATTTTTTCAAAACCAATTACATTGATCTTTCCCGAAAAAAAAAATGTATTTTAAACTATTTTATGCAGTTAAAATTTATCTATTTTGCAGAATAAACGAATCAGAATTTGAAAATAGAAAATTGTGTTGTATGCAAATAACAATAATTACATTGATTAGTTGATAAAAATTATTTTTTTTTAACAGTATACACCTTATATGTCCTAAATGTCAAATTTGACATAGTTGGTATTTTTTCAGATACATCAGTAAATATGATTTTTTTTAATGGAATATTACATATATTTCTATATATTTTGATAGAATTACTTTTTACAATTGCAGCAAACTTTACATAAGTCTGATGGGTGCAACTCTAATAGTAAGAGAAAGAAATAATTACTAATACAAAGTATTACATACCTAATCCAAAATAAAAACCAAAAATCATATATCTAAATTAATATCACTAATTAGGAATCTTGTCTGACTTGCTGTTAAGAATGGCATTTTTTATTTCCTGTCTGAGTTTGTTACCATATCTTAGATATACTCTATATGTATAAATCAGTGAATAATATTTACTGAAGTTACAAAATATCTAATTTCGTTAAATCGTGTTATTTGGCTGGCCATAGAATATCTTTTGTCTCGCCAACAAATCATTGCGACTAGCTTAAACAGTTTTTCAATAAATCAGAAGCAGATATAAGTAAAGCTACCAAAAGGAAGCTAAACATAAAACGTATTTATGTGGGGTATCAAAAAAGAAATTCATAAAAATTTGATATGCCTACAACCGTACAAAAGAATTTTAAATTGCCGAATATAAAAGAAAATACCGACTGCCGTTCCCCAATTCGGTGGACTGCAAAATCGTGTGACATATGGGCAAAAGTGCGAAAGCACGTGTCGTGGAAAGCCCGAGAATGATTTTATTTCATGCTGATATTCAAGAGAACATTTTTATTTGCATATCACTGAAATACCCGAATAGAACAGGATGTCCTTCAGAATTTTATGTGCAAGACAACTCGATACTTTGATCCTTCCATTATTAATATTTCTCAATGCAAATGGGATAGAAAACTCGGAGAAACACACGGAAATCTTTCTGGTATTTTCCAGAAAAAGGTATATGAAATAGTATATTTTTATTGTAAGAATGATTTTATACAAATAGATATTTGTAAAATTTAATAATACGTAATATATAAATCGTGTCTATTAAATGTAAATTGAAATCTGCTAAAAATTTAATGTATATGTGAGACCTAAAATAGCAGTTAAAGGAACATTTAGTTTTTAATTTTAAGGGGTTCTAGAACATGCCAGATGTTGGCTAGCTCAAATGTGGGCTTGTATAAATATTTTGGTTTTGATTAAAAATAGTGCATTAGCGTTAAAAAATCTAAGGGTGCTCTCTAAAGCTAACTAAATTTAGTTTGAATCATTTCTTATACTGATGTTTCATTATTATCCAGTGGCGGCTCTTGACTTCCACACCAGGGAGGGCGGAAAAATTTAGGTACAAAGTATTGAAAAAAAATTAAAAATAATTAGGCAGTTTTATTTTAAGTACTTACCTACTATTGAAATACCGTGTGTCCCGAAATTAATGTAACAAAATTTGGTCACAGATTCTTAAGACAAATTTACGGGAACCGTATTTTTTATTTTTGACAAGTGGCCCCTTCTTTCGGAGTTACAGCCCCTTGAAATCCGCCAATAAGAATAATCCTTTTTTATATCTCAGAACCCTGTTGTACGAGAATCACTACTAATAAATAAATATGCGCTACTCCCACTACATCTTTCATTGCTGCGCGACTGTAACCATGACCACCGCTGTAAACACTTTACAGATGTAGGAGCGAACTACGTGAAGTTTTTCAAACGAATTTTCCAAGTCGAGTTGAATTGACTGCACATTACAAATTTAACTTTTCTTTTTAATTTGTTTCATAAGGCTAATCCATTTAGTTATCCAGATAACATTGCAAAATAAATTTTAAATTAAATTTCTTTACTATGATATTTCCTTGGTGGAGCGGCGCCCCAGAGTCCTAATGTTGTAACCAGTGTCAACAACTTACTTATATTTCTCCCTATTATATTTTCTGCATACTTGTGAGTGTCTAATTTCTCATTTTTTTAGTATTATTTTCTGACATCTTAATTGCAATATCCATGCATATCCATCCATAATAATTATAATATCCATCCACATAAAATGCAACAATATATACTGGGTGTTCTATTTAATATGCAAATATGGTGACATGCCTACGGAAATAAGTAATATAATAATATCTCAATCCCCATGTTAATCGCAAGGATTAGCTCAAAAGTCGTAGACTTGTACGGGGGAGGGGACGGTATATTATTATTCAGTAGGCCGCAGGTGCGCCCAGGAACGTCTTACGTTTGTAAGTCTTAACCACCATTCAGTGCAGGAATGAGGGAAACCTGGAAAACCTCATTAATTAGGGGGATGGTCAAACGCCGGCCGGTATCAATCTCTTACATTGACCCACGTTAACGTCTTTCCACCCTACCATACACGCAGAGAGGGTGTCTAATTCCTCTCTACAAATAAAGCTGATCATACGACCGCGGGAATCAAACCCGCGTCAGTGGCATTCATCGATTACTGATGTCTCGAACCGCTCGGCCATTGACTACTATTATTGAATTATTTTTGAAAACGCCTTGAACATATTAAAAATCCTTCAATAACTACTCATGATAAATATGCATTTTAAAAACCTTAAAATGAAATCAGTAACATTGTCTTATAATTCAGTGCATTGTAGCGTTGTTTTTTCCTTTCAGGTATCCCTTGTTTCTTGTTCTTGTGAGGAGAGAGTTAACCAACAGCCGCCGCCATGGACGCGATCAAGAAGAAGATGCAAGCGATGAAGCTTGAGAAGGACAATGCGGCGGACAAAGCCGACGCGATGGAAGGTCAGTTCAAGGACGCCAGCGCACGCGTCGAGAAGATCAACGAGGAGGTGCGCGATCTGCAGAAGAAGCTCTCCCAGGTAGAGAACGACCTCATCAACAACAAGGAGGCCCTCGAGAACGCCAACAAGGATCTGGAGAACAAGGAAAAACAACTCACCCAGGTAAAAATACGATGTTATAATTAACTGGTTCTATAAAATGTGTTTATGGAAGAATGAGGAGTCTATTAAGATTTGTGATGTTCTAAAAATTCTTATGTCCTTTATGTAAGTGACTACTGAATGAAATTTTGTATCACTTTCAGGCTGAAGCTGAAGTAGCCGCCCTGAACCGTAAAGTACAACTGATTGAAGAGGATTTGGAGCGCTCTGAGGAACGTTTGGCCACAGCTACCACCAAACTCGCTGAAGCTTCCCAAGCCGCTGACGAGAGCTCACGGTATACACATTACACATTTTTATAAGTATTGCTTCTGTTTCTAGAACAATACTAAGTTAGTTATTACTTGCCGTACAAGTTATTAACTTCTTGATAATAATTAATTATGAGAAAATAGTGATATTATCAAATCTTATCACATCTGTAAGTTAGGAGAGGACAAAATGACGTGAAGTTTCTTAGTCTTCTAATTACGAGTAACTTTGACAATGGGTCCTTTTTATGGCTCAGTTTTAAGTCTTTCCTCTTCCGAACAATAGACAGCATACCCTTGCTGGACCTTCATACTGGCATAAAAAGACATGGGCTGTCTTCTATCAATCCAACATTACATGCACTGCCCAGTTGGTAGTCCTACTTTTTCTTTATTAATTCAAGCCTTTGGTTTAGTAGGTCGGACCATGGAAGGAATTAATTCCATGATCCTCCTAGGCTTTCTTGCCACCAATGCTGGTACTCTTCTGGTCTTCAATCATTCCCGTATAACTGTCATAATTAGTTACCGATGGCGCAGAAGGCGTCCTTGTAGGACGCTGGCATGCTCCACCCTGTCACCAGGCAATTGGTGGGTTGTTCTTGCAGTTTATTACAAACCCTGTTTCTCCTTAAATGAAGTAATTGGTGGTAGATGGAACAGAATCTCTAGAATTGCAATGGATGTAGTTCTCATAATCGCGAATCTCGTGGAAATGAATAAATTAACGTATTTTCTCTACTTCTCTCCGTATTACTACTATAAGATCATTTTTGGCTGAAAACCACATTTTTCATATAGCTGCCTATAATTTCCTAAGGCTGTTCCGCAATTCTTTTTGGTTTACCAAACCTTTAAGCGCCAAAGAATATATATGTGAGATATATATTGAGATATGAATATATATGTCATCGTATAAAAGGAAATTTCATTACATCTCTCCATTTTGCTTATTTTGATATACAAAAAGTATTATAACATTTACATAATTTCTGTATCACTATTGCGGTTGATCCTCAAGAAAACAGTATCACCGAAACAAATAAAAAGGAATAAAATGTTGCACACAAACTGATTTAGAATAAGTTCGAAAAAAAATCTCGTTAAAAATGTCAGATAAGGCAAAATTGACAGTTTGTTTTTCTATTTTGACAATGGAGGACGAAATTGAACTGGATTCAGCCAAATCTCAGATTTTCAACAGTGCAAAAGAGGAAGGGTGTACCTATAGAACTGTAGAAGAAATTTTGTCTGATATCAATTTAGCAAGGTGTTGTTTTTCAAAATCTCACCATTTAGATATATTCTTTACTTAAATAAGGACTAAAGGAATACAGTCGAAATTGTTCTTTTTCAGTATGTGCAAGGTATTGGAGAATCGTGCTCAACAAGATGAAGAACGTATGGACCAACTCACTAACCAATTGAAGGAGGCTCGTCTCTTAGCTGAAGATGCCGACAACAAATCCGATGAAGTGTCCCGCAAGCTGGCCTTCGTTGAAGATGAGCTCGAAGTAGCTGAAGATCGTGTCAAGGTACGATGATCCATTGAGGCAAATACCAAATAACACTAATGTCATTCTGATGATGAATTTTAGGGTGGTGATGCCAAGATCATGGAACTTGAAGAAGAATTGAAGGTCGTAGGAAACTCCCTCAAATCTTTGGAAGTATCCGAGGAAAAGGCTAACCAGAGGGTCGAGGAGTTCAAGAAACAGTTGAAGAGTCTCACCGTCAAGCTAAAGGAAGCTGAAGCCCGTGCTGAATTTGCTGAAAAGACCGTTAAGAAGTTGCAGAAGGAAGTCGACAGACTAGAAGGTAAACCTTTTCATTTCTGCAAGTGCAATGCATTCTTGGTTTGTAAGTGCTGCTTTCTTCTCTATCTCTTTTCAAAAAATGTTGCGAGAGTAGTGAATTGTATTTTCCCTGGACTTTGCTTCAAGCTTCTTAATCGGCGCCTGCCTTTCTGCTTTCAGATTTCGTACTCCGAGAAAAGAACAAATATATCGGCATCATCACCGAAATCGACAAGACCTTTGTCGAGATGTCCGCGCTTGGCGAAAAGAAATGAACGCTTCGCCCTTAACACTTTTGCACGCAATAGCGCTCGTCATTTCCTATTTAGGTGTTCAATCCTCCACGGTTCAGTAGCTTTTATAAGTGTACATTTACTTAGCAACTATTTCTTTCATTGTAAATACTAGTGTTACCTTGGCAATACTTTAAGATGCTTTTAGACTAATTTACAACTTCTAATTTTATATAAAACATGTTAATATTTAGCTATAATTACTATTGATATATAGTTGTAACGCTGACTAATACTTCTCCGTTTTTCTTGCTTTCTTCTGCTGCTATACAATGAAGGGTAAGTTGATGTAGCGATTTTGTTATGTCCACAGTCTTACCCTTGCACTTTGTACTGTCTATGTCTATACCATGGAAATTTAATGCCCCCCAAATTGCTTAAAAAAATGTTTCATCATTTCACACAAAACATTTGACGTATTCACCCTTTCGTGGTGTACCACTGGAAAAAATTTAAATAAGAACTTATTTTGATCACCTGCAATTTAAGTCCAATTAATCCTGAAACACCCTGTATACTTATTTGCTCGAGTGGCTTTTGGTGGCCTCTGACGTAGACACCAGCCTTCTTTCCTACGGCTCTGGTCATTATATTTACCATATAATCTGTATTATTCGTTAAACGACCAGCAAACTTGCCAGATTTAAGTCCACTTTCGTAAAATAAATCACGTTGTATGTCTTGTGCGTGACACCTTATGTATTTCAAAAGTGTAATGTTGAACTCTTTTAACATATTCTGACCTTTGCAGACGAGCTTGGCATCAACAAGGACAGGTACAAGTCCCTCGCCGACGAGATGGACTCCACCTTCGCCGAATTGGCCGGTTACTAACCGCTCACCATCTTCCAAAGGGATATATTCCGGGTCGAGATCATCCCAGTCCGGATAAGCCAAAGTTTTGTTTTATAAATTGTATATTGTATTTCTGATGTATCTATTTGTATTTATAACACACCCAAGTTGTCTGTCGGTGAGAACAAAAAACCATGGAGAAGTGCCACTAATAGTTAAGGTTAACTAGAAGTGTAAATTGTTAATTTAAGTGCCCCTTAGCCACTCAGTTATGTTCGCGTTTAGAAGCCATGGATATATTAATTTATTAAATAAAAACAATTATTAAATTTTTGTTTATTTGAATTCATTTCTCTCTGTTCTCATATGTATGTATAAAACGGTGTCTCTAGACGGGAAAAAAATATTTTTTCTACAAGGGTTTTCAAAAGAAGTAGCAGAAATTGTACCGGTATTCGAAAAATTGACATGTATTAGTAGAAAATTTATGTAAAGTTTCACCACCATACCTTTTTTGGTTTTAAAATTACAGCCACTATTCCATATTTTTTTGGAAACTTTGAGAGGCTTTAACTAAGGTCATTTTTATGCAAAACGTTCTTTTTGTGTATATTAAAATTTTGACCAGTTTTTACAACAGACAGAAATATATCGACCTAGTACGAAAATTTTACAAACAAAACTATTATTAAAATATAAACACTAAACAGCTATAATTTTTAAAGTTTTGTATTTAAAAATAGGTCGTTATTAAAATTAAAATTATCATTTTATTTTATGGAAACAATGAATCAAATAAAAATAATATGGGGCTAAAGGATTATTAAATACAATGTTTTGAAATGTTTTAGAAAAATAATACCGTTATTTTATTTTCAAATGATTTGACGTTGCAGAGATTACATCTCTACAAAACCAACTACAGTTTCAACATTAGAGAGAGAAAACATTGGCAACAAAGACAAGTTTCGAGTTATAAATGATTGATGATTTTATGAACAAATACATAGAAATATTTGATGAACATTACATTTTATTAATTATTATGAACGAATATTTATAGTAATTCTAGTTATCACATTTAGTAACATTTACCGATGTTCTTCGGAATGAATGGCCTGTATACGTTTCAGGATGTTCTAGTTTCAAAAACTGTACAATTTATTAGGAATCATAGAAACAGAACCCAGACGAGAATCTGGGATTGTAATTACCATAATGTCATCGAAATTTTTGAAATTGACGTTGTCCAAAGTAAGTTTGCATAACTTTCATCAGAACGGCATGCTCCTGCAATGCCTAAGACCGTCACTACCTTCATTAGCAAATATGTGTCATCGGTGCCTGAACGAGAAAATCGTTGACTTGTTCTACAGTGACTCTATACAAGACAGTGGCGACAATAGAGTGTATCATTTTTAATTGGTCCACGTGATTTTAGCTGCCATGTTGCATCCAGTGTCAAATTCATCTGTGAAATGTCATGGTGTCAGGAGCGTTCTTATGGTATTATTCAATATTTGTATTGTTTTATTTTAATTTTGGTGATTACTAGTGAAACTATTGGGTATTCTGTGCTAAGGGAAAGTTATAACGTCTGCAGAAGCTTCATGAGGATGATGACCATGAATTTCTTTCAGGCTTTTTGGACACCATAACAAAAAATATAAGACCTACTTATAAGGAAGTTAAGGTTGGTTCCTGCTAACATAGAAAAACTAAAATTTAATCTTAGTTTTAGTGAATTAAATTATCTTTATAATGTGTGCGGATATATTGCCCAAAGTATCGTTAAAACGTCAAAAACTTGTACAAACTGTCTCCATGCTGTTGGTTCTAAAACGCCGAAACATGTTCAAAATTTAGCGTACTTAAGAGAATTAGAGAACATTCAGTCTTTTTTGCAATGAAGCGGTATTTTGTTTCTTCTTGCAGATGGAAAATACTTTTACAACATTTTTTGCGATTGAATCTTGACAAAACATAAATTTATAAGAGTTTTCTTAAAAGAAATGTCTGGTTTAAATTTAGATCTACCAAGTTATCATCAGATCAAAAATAAAATTGTTAAAAGATTTATTATGTTCCAATTAAAAATAGCTTCCAAACAATACTATCGCTAGTATTAAGTATTCGTTTTTCTAATGTAAACCCAATAAATTTCATTGTGTAATGTAGGTATGCTTAAATTTACTTGCCTAGAAAATATAAACCAATAGTTGTTATTATTATATATTTATCCTTCCCTATTGCGCAAGTAGATTCTATATTCATTCATTATTTAAAATCACTTTCCAAGGGAGTTATTTACCTAAAACTTTGCGTAAAATTTAAAACAAAAATACTTTTGTACTTAATTTATTTTTTATAAAAGTTACTTTCAATTTGACATTGGATGCAATATGGCGGATGGGCGGGGTTTAGTCGCTATTGTCGCCACTGTCTTGCACATAGCCACTGTAACTTGTTCTGTTGTAAAAACGTTTGACTTTTTAGGTGTCTATAGCTGTCATTCTTACCTTTCAGAATGTTCTCAGCTTGGGGTATTTTGATATATCCACATTCTCCTCTATGAAAATAGTTGACTTAATCATTGAGTATTTACTCCACAAACTCGCAAGTGACTTTAAAGTTCTTGACTTCTCCATGAAATATGCTAGCAGTGACATTTCAGAAACATCAGTATTTTTGTTCTGGCATCATTCATTGAAATTTCTATATGCTCGTCCGTAGCGCACTTTCGACTTCTCGGGCAATAAAAATATTTGAAAATCACTCATTAAGAAATAATAATTCAAAACCAGCAAAATTGTAACTTTTATTTAGCTTTGTTTATAAACACATTAGAAACGACAAAATCCAAACAACCAAGGCGACTTTGCAAGATTTCGAATCTGTCAAAATGTCAAAAAATAGAACCTAATCTTTATTTCATGAACCATAAGAACTGTGTGAACCGATAAAATGTTATACACCACGCAGCAGTTAAGTATAATTTACCAGTCTCGGACTCTATTGCCAGCCCTCGCTCCGCTCGGGCGCAAAATCGTCCTCGACAGGTAAACAATACTTACCTCCTTTATAGTGTAAATAACTATTGTTTCTCATTTTTATACATTCACCTGCTTTTACTCACATTATTCAATTTTTTTAATATTCAGAACGCATTTCTTTGTGTGGTAAATACCAATTTCCATGGTACCTTTCAATCCGCCATAATGGGTCCACCATTTTGGATTTAAGAAATTCCCAATTAACCTTATAATTCTGATTGGCGGTTTTTTTCCTCCATATTGGATACGCCATTTTTTATTCAGGAATTTTCGAATTCGGACTTCAGATTCGTAATCAGCGACCCAAAAAACTAGCGGTAATAAAATGCAGGCAAAAATACTGAGTAGAAAAATGTGTGATTTAAAGGGGTAAGTGGGACCCTGGTTTGTAGGTGGTTTCCAACCCTTTGAGAGATGTTATATTATATTTTTTTTGTATGTTGTCTATCAACCTACATACACTTATGTATTTGGCAGTATAAAATACAGGACTATGGTTTTTCACATTGTTTTGCACTAACATTCGTTATTTGATCTTGGGCGTAGAATTAACCCCCTCGTAGGGGTGGGTGTGGATTTAGTTTGCATATATTTCTTTCCAGTACTCAAAATATCATTTTAAAATGTTTTCTAATAGTATTTACAAATTGTTGCTTTTCATTATAAAGCTTTACCTCTATCGTCACTATTTCATCTTACTTTAGTGGATATATTAGCGCTTTACCAAAAAAAATATGTACTCATTGTTCTGGTACGCAACTTTTTTTTGGGGCTGTGTTTTGGGTAAAATATGTTAATTATTTTCTTGTTAACAAAAGACCTTTCAAAAGGAATTATTTTACCCACCTTTCCATGGGTGGAAATTGTTAGGGTGAAAGATAGTGCCAAAACGCATCTATCTCAAAATAAAAATTGTTACGAGTTTCGTCCACCCACACACTGTCACGGCACACCATCCCTGCATGGAAAGTCATCCCTTGGACGAACATTAATCTCTAGCCTCAATAATAATGTACAGATAAAAGAAGTACGGGTCGGGGGTGGCCATTACAAAGAGCCATCGCGAATGGAGTATAGACCCAAGCCCGAAACCTACCGGAGCTGACCATCAGCAACCCCCACGTACCATGACGTCACGGGGCGTCGCGGCGCCTGCGTCGGACGCCGTATTGATCAGCCCTACGTCTGTATGACTAAGTCGAAAACCCGAAAACGATCGCAACAGCATCCCAGCATATTTCGGGGGCGAATTTGAGCAAAGCGAAAAGTCCTGCGGGTGAAGGCCCGTCGTTAACGCGCCCAACAGTCTGTAAATCCTCTGTGAAGTGGTGTTCTTGGATACCATGGCCGGCGAGGGCCCACAGATCAAGCCCGTGCAAGGGGGTGAGTTATACCCGTGACATTTTCATTGCGGATAAGCACCATTGTCGGTGATGGTGTTCATATTTACATCCTTTTGAAAGTTTTCCGTTTTTTAGAAATTACGTTACTTTGTTTCGTAGTACCATTTCGTTTTGACACAATTTTTTATGTTATTACTTTAAATTATACTGAAAAAAAAACTGCGTAATAACAAAAATTAGGCGTTCTAATATGAGTTCTATTATTATTTATTGCAATGAAATTGCATGTCAAGAAAAAATTCAATATTTATTGCTATAAAATAGATGCACAAGCAATATTTGAGTTTTGTATTAAATATTGTTTACTTGTCACTAAACATTGTATAAGTATTTAACTTTAGTATTGCAAAATTGCCATTAAAAAAGTTAAATATGCTTTATTTTCCTAGAACACCATGCAGACAATTTTTCAAAATACATATTATTAAAGTAGTACTATTGTACATATTATGTATTAATTTTTCTACGCCTTTTCAAGTTTCTACATTACTGTATTTCAAAAGATGTATGTTATTGACCGCTTGTCGTTGTGTCATTTTATTGGTCTCTCTCTATTTAACAAAATAATAAAATAAGAGTAAGGCACACTTAAAATTGTTATTGTTAATCCAAAAAAATAACACAATTCAGTAATACATTTTAGAATCTTAGAATTTTTTCGTTTACAGCAAAGACAATTAATTTTATAAGTATTACTCTTATAAAGGATACAGGATGTAATCAAAATATTTAACCAAACTTGAAGGGGAGATTCTACTCACAAATTAACAAAAAAATATTATAAACGCGATTTTGGAAAAGTTTCGTGTTCAAAATTGAGAAAATATGTGACTCATTTCAAAATACAAAACACAAACGAGCGAAGCCTTGTAAATAT